TCGAATACTCTTGTTATAACTAATTCCTCCCACAAGAAACATAGATTTTATTCATATCGATATAACTGCAATTCAAGCACGAGTATGTTGACATGTAGTTTTTACGTAAAAATGCATTGCTCTTAGTTAATCCTAATTGCGATGTTACTGGATTTAAATTACGTTAGCTAGCTACTTATTTTTATTTTCACTGGCACGTTCGTCTGTTACTCCCTACAATTCTCAAACCATTAACTACAGACTCATTAACATACCGCTTCATTTCTAAGAGCACCCAGTATCCTATCCACTTCACTATGTGAATGTAATACATGACAACAGTGTTTGCAATCCCTTGTATCCACTTTCACCCACGTCCAAATCGTCCATCACCTCCTAGTAGTTCTTCCTTGATCGTCATCCTTCTCATTTATCTTTATCAACACCCACCACCAATGCTAATGGTTCGAGTTCACGAAATGTTATTCCTGGTCTCCTTAAACCACACTCCAATCTACATATTGGAGCTTTCAATGTTCGAACCTTGGGTCAGATAGAACAACAGGCCTCCTTAGCTAGGACACTAGAGTCTTGCGCGGTCGATATGTGCTACGTCTCCGAAACGTGCATGCAGGGTCTAAATACCATCATTCATTTGACCTCATCTTGTCAATATAAAAAACCGGTGCGATTTATTCTTACAGTATCTGGAGACCCCACTACTACTTCACGTATCCTCTTTGGTGTCGGTATAGCAGTATTGAGATCTAGAGCAAGACAAGTTCTCACTAACTGTATTTTAATAGACAGTCTCCTGTGCGCTGTTCAACTAAACGAGACTAAGAACTCGAAAATATAGAAACACACTGCATTGCCTCTTCGTTGTCTCTCTCTACGCTCTCATTGATGACTGCTCGAACGAAGTCAAAGTTTAGTTTTATGGGAAGCTATCCAATCTCACTCAAAGTCAAACGCTTAGATGTAATAGTGGCGGGTGATTTTGTTCCTTATTTAGGTAAACTAAACTAAACCGAAATGCACTTAGGCGGGTCTTACGGTGTAGCGGCTCAGCAAAAGATAATGACGACAACTATGCTCAGATAACTGCCTATTTCTGGCAAACGGCAACTTTAAACATGAGAAACATCGTCTGACGTGGCGACCTACACAATCGACTCATCGATGAATTGAAATAGATCGAGCTGCCATTAGCCGTCTTCGGAGGAGCTCGGTTGATGACTGTCATCCATTTTAGAGCATATGTTTACACTCAAATCATGCTCTAGTTCGAGCACGTATTTGGCTGAGTCTTACTGGATGTAGAAAAGCCACAGCGAGAAAACCCCTTAGACTTCAACTTAATGATGAAGTAATTAAGAACATATTTCAGGAACAACTAGAGAAGAAGCAAGTCAACTTTGAAAATGATATCCATCACGATGCAGCGCGGTATGGTTCCCAAAAAGCTGTAGAAGCAGCAGTGACATCTACTAGTAACTCAGACCAAAAGGTTAGGAAAAATGGGGGGGGGTCTCAGCGGTGTCTATAGAACTCAGGCTCCGAACGCGATGAGAAGTGGGGTCAGCTTAAACGTAGGCTGATAAAAAGCCTACGTAGCAATCGCGAGTAGTGGTGGGTAGTGAAAGTAAAAGTGATGGGAAAAGCAGCAGCGATAAGTAACAGTAGACAACTGTTCATAATTATCAAGGACACGGATGTTAAAAACCAATCTGTTGATGACCTTCATCCACACTTTAGCCACTCACTATCTCCAAGCAACCTGAGTAGCAAATTAATGTAAGTCCTCTAACTTTTAGTGAGGTTGGAAAGGCTATGGGTAATCTAAAACAAAGGAGAGCATCAGGACCTGGTGGACTAACCCCTGAGATTTTTAAGGGTGGTAGTCCAGTTTTAGCAGTTAAATTAACTGGGATCTTAGCTAAAATCCAGGAACTAAATGTAATCCCATCTGACTGGTTTCAATCGCTGATTGTCCCAGTCTATGAGAAAGAACAGAACTCCTCTTATGACAATCACAAAGGAATCAGTCTGATCAATGTAGAGTTTGAAATATCAGTAGTTCGCTCCATTCTACTTTGTGGATGTGAAACATGGTCGTTAAGAGGAGAGGATATTCATAGGTTACTGGTGTTCGATCATAGGTGTCTTCGAAGCATTGCTGGTGTATTTTTGGACCACGGGGTAAACAATGACTGAATTAAGAACAACGTATTAGGTTAAGATGGGAAATTGGTTGATGAGGTAGTAAATCTTCATCAACTGAGGTGGTTGGGACATGTTTTACGTAAGTGCAACCACCGCCTACCTCGACGAGAAATGTTTTCTGGTTCAGGATTAGGCTGGGAAAATGCTAGGGGCTACCTAACCATAAAGTCACTGACAATTAAGCTTGACCATTTTGGCAGGTGTAGACTGCCTGGTCGGGCCCGCATGATTATCGTAAACAATTGTTAGAGACTTTGAACGACATGACTCAAAATCGTCTGCAATGATACAGGTGCATCCATTTTTTGTCTTCCCCGAAATTCTAAGATTCTATATTCCTCATAACGTTTTTCGTTTTTATCTCACTGAATTATATTTCCTTTTAATGTCGTATCTTTGATGCCTTATCTTTCCTATTACCACTGATACTGTTACTACCTCTATTATTATGGGATTTGGTTTGACAGTTCCATCCCTCTGTGCTAATGGAGTATAGCGACTTGAACCGATGTACATACATACAGGTTCTACGTTGCTACTGACTGAATGACATTAGAAAATGCACTTCCATGGTTTACACTTTTTTTTATCTCTAATGAAGTAACGTATGTTCTTGTATATCCCTAACTGCTTGTCCTAATCATAAAGATCTTTCTAACGTGATACTCTGAGAACAGTATTTCAAATATGACTCGTTAGTCTGAATTATTCGTTGAGAAATTTAATTTCTGGGTCGTAAAATGAAATTAGTCCTGCTACTAACCAGAAAGTGCACTGTTGGTAGATTTGTTTCCCTTGTTGTTGTACTGAAATAATATCTGATGGACAGAACTGCATATCGTTCAAACTTGACAAACGTCAAGTTGTCTGATGTTTCATAATCTAGACAATCTATTTTCCAACGTTTTTCTTGCAAACTAGAGTGTATCTTGAATATAAATTATACTCGATACTAAAGCTGAATAGCATTTAGTGGTCTGATTTTGCATCCAGAAGAAATGGCAAACTTTGGTTTCAATTACCATAATCTAATAATAAGGTTCTGAGGTTAAAGCTATACCCTTTTGTCCCACAAATATGCTTATATAGACAAAAAATTACGTAATTACTATTTCCTAAGCACCCATCCTCCCAAACCTGTGATTGTAACTGCTCCCTTAACCTAGTTTTAGCGAACATGTGTTCTTAACCAATATAACCCCAGTCCCAAGTAAAAATGACTTACCTCCTCCAAAATTTACCAAAAGGCGAACTCATCACATTTCTGTTAACCAGACAATAAATCCTCGTAGGTACTTACAACTTGCGAAAAACGTTTAGATAATCCATCCTAATTCTACTTAATAAGTATACCAAGATTATTTGCGGAGAAACTCCCCGCTTGGCCATCAAGGTATGTAAGCAATACCCCTGTTGACTCAGCTTGATCTCATACGTAATACACAGTGAAATGAGCCATTAAGGAATAACCTGGATCAGTAATCCACCGGATTGTTCTATCTGGAGTACGTGATATTTGGAATCTCTTTGCAACTACTTCATACTTTTGCTTAAAGTGGAAGTAGTTTTGTCACGTATTAGTCTAATTATCTTGATATTCAAGATTAGTTCCAAGAGATGTGAGCTCTGGAGATAAAAAGACAGTAAGATGGTGGTTGGAGGTAGTCAACAGGAAACCCTGGACCCGGGTTTCGTGCTACTTGGCACTCGTCAATAAGGTGTATCTGTAATCTTGAGGGAACTGGTGCTCCCTGGCGGATTCGATCTCGTGTCACCCAGCTTCACAGTCAGAGACGTTACCACTGAGCTATCCGAGCCGTAACTAACCTCCTGTAAGACTGATCGATAGCATTCGATGTGCACTAATGAGGACTATACAAGTATTATATTGATCACCACCCAGTTATCAATCAATTGTGATTACATCTCAGTCCTACAGGAGGTTAGTCACGACTCGGATAGCTCAGTGGTAACGTCTCTGACTGTGAAGCTGGGTGACACGATATCGAATCCGCCAGGGAGCACAAGTTTTCTCAAGATTACAGGTACACCTTGCTGACGAGTGCCAAGTAGCACGAAACCCGGGTCCAGGGTTTCCTGTTGACTACCTCCAACCACCATCTAATCTCAATACATAGTGCCCGCAGTGTCGAGTCACCTAGACTGGTGGCCACGTTGCAACATGATCGATAGCATTCGATCTGCACTAATAAGGACTAGACAAGCATGAGATTGATCACCACCCAGTGATCAATCAATTGTGATAAAAAGACAGTTATTGCGCTACACAAGTATTTACAAAGGATGACAATGAATTCGGTTAGTGTAATGTTTATTAAGGGAAACGAGCTAGTGGCTCTTCAAAACGACCGGAACAGCAAGAAATAGATCAGTTCAACTAGGTATTAGGAACTTTTATATCCACCGTTTAACCACTTAAGTGGGACACTGACAGCTTTTGTGTAAAGAATTAAGAAAAGACATGCATCTGTCAGATCAAATCTAAAGATTTTCGTAATTTATAGACCAATGTTCCCCCATATTTTTCACTTTCGGGTTTATGAAGTCTAGAGATGTTTTATGGTTATCCCGTTTAGTTCTTTTAATAAATCACTCGGAATGCTGAGATAGTTTTGTGCATATTTGTGATTATTTTTTACCGGTTCACAGATAATTAATGATAATTCATACAGAGTAAAACACTTTACCGTCAAAATGTATTAATTAATCTGTATATTTTTTCTTCACATTTTGGAGACTTTCCATAATGTCTTGCATATTTCAAGAAAAATTCCATGGTCTTTTCATTAATACACACAAAGTTAGTCGTCTGTTCTAGTTTGGTTTGTTCAGTATTTCACTATTAAATGCGTATTCATATTTCCATTCTATTGGTCTGTCAAAGACATATTTGCTTAAAACACTATTTTAAAATTTGTTAGAATCTTATACTTAAAGTTCCAACCACCATAATGAATAATTTTATTTAGCATAAGGAAACTTAGTTATTTTCATTTGAATCCTAAATTTGTGCTATGTGGCTAACTCTAATTTTTGTTCCGTATCCTGTGTTCCAAATTTGATTTTCACGTCCTTTCTTAAACCAGATCAGACACAGTTTTCTCAATTCAATATTTAATATTCAAATTACAGATATGCATTTTGAACCGTATCTAAAGAATGATAAATAAACTGATATTCCCTCACATCTATCATCACATACTCTCAATAATCCACTACTCTTTATTTTTTACTGTTCTATTTTTTTATTTTCTAATTTTCATAGTGTGTAAGTAACGTAGATATTTTTGATAGACAAACTTAATCTCTGTCGTTCTCGTGTGTGTATTTCAGTTGCAGTTGTATCCATTACTTGATAATGTCTTCAATCCTCACTTGTCTGAGAGAATTGTATTAGGTTGGTCGAAATCATGTCGATGATTTCGTCTAGTGAATACTTACAAGTTCGAATAGTGGGCTGTGTGCAACGTATCATGTCAAAGATGATGATATTACGTAGTTGTATGAACTTTGATACGTGGAGCCCCATTCAAATCGTTATCGTTTTAGTGAAAAGTCGAGTTTTCGAACATGTTAGTTACAGCCCTGTTGTCGATTTCTTCGGTGCAAATCCGAAGTATTTAAACCATAGTATTTTATAATTTCTTTTACAAGCCCTTATCGAAATATCCCTCCCATAACATTGAAGAAATACAAAATATTATAAAACAAATTTAATTCATCAATTGAGGATTATGTTAAACATTTTATCCTTCGATTGCATACAAAGTTGAATTATTTCCTTCTTGATACCAACTTTTACCAGATACACTTCCAAAGAAAGTATAATATGTGTAAAGAGGTAACTTAGCTTTACTAGAAAATATTTACTTTGATCGTCTGTAAATCTATCTGTTGAGCTTTAAAAAAAGAATGCATTTGACTCCTGGTAAGTTGTTTGTTTAATATCTGCTACTATATCCTCACCACACACTAAACTGATTGTTTATAGCTGACAAATGTTGGTTAATAGATCATACAAATAGTGGTTCAAACTTGTATCTTACTTCCAAAGATATTTTTCATATTAGGCGTAACAGTTGCGTATTTTTAATTTATCAAGTTTTTGTTCAAGTGTTCACGTGTTCGTTTGTCGAATAAGCTGTTTTTAGCAATTTTCTTATCAATCATTTCATCTTTGTTGAGAAAATTTCACATACGCTGTCTATAAGATTGACGAATTAACTAGATTTACAATGCGATAACTGTGTCACTGTTTAGATCCATCTTTCCCCAAAACAGAACAGGGAACATAAGTTAACGAGAAAAGTATAGTGATAAACTAATTTAGAACACAAATACAGAGAGAGAATATTCAAGGAAATATAAAACTCCCTTGTATAACTTTCTATTGGTATTATCAACGAAGAAATCGAAGTTCTAGTTTACACTATTTTTATCATTTTACTTAAAATTTATCTGCAGGTAAGGAATTTTATCAGTCTTTAGTTAAACTTTTTGTCTCATAGTTTCCTGTTCATATCAACCTACTTTAGTTTTATTTCATTTCGTGCCATTCAATTGGGATGTTAGTACATTAATATCATTTTCGTTCGTTGTATTTCAGTTGGTATTACAAAGATATTACCAGGCAACAAGCTGAAGCTATTTTACTAGACGAGAATCGCGAAGGTTGCTTTCTTGTTCGAGACTCAGTTAGCAAAAAGAATACATACACTTTATCAGTTACTTCGAAAGACCCTGAAGCGTAAGTTTCATAATAGATAAATTTGATAGAAAACCAACCATAATTTTATGTCATCTCATATATGAAGATGATTTTCTTCACTAATTTACTTAACTCAAGGAAACGCTAATCAATGTGTACCAGTGGGAAACCGTTTCATCCTTATTCGTTTTAAATAATATTATTTTATCATCAAACTGCAGGCATTTTGTCTTCTGTTTCGAAATAGTCGATTTCTCTCTCGAATTATTGGCCAACTTAGTGTAATTCGATTACGCTCTCATGTTCAACTGTAAATTGAGACCACAATCCCGTGCCTATTTATTGATTTAGGTTATCTATCATTACAAAGTTTTAAAAAGATGAAATTATTACATAATGGTAACGTTACAAAACAAAATAGTCGTACGGAGTTAAAATTAGACTAATCTAAAATCTCTTATATTAATGTATTAAACAAAATCCTGATTGACTCAGTTATGCTTCGTATTTACAGTTATATGTAGTGTCCTCGTCTTATGCACCCGATTAACTTCATCATAGACCTACTGATGGAATTAACATTCTCGTCGACTGAATTCTCGGGTATTGATCTCCTACCAGGAGGTCCACTTATCGACTTAGAACACACAGATGACATAGTCCTGTTTGGTGAAGACGCTGACAAAATGCAGAGTCTTTTGGTAGCACTAAGCAACAATGCCAGAATGTTTGGAATGCGCTTCTCTCCCTCAAAATGCAAGTTGTTGCTTCAGGACTGGTCTGCGTCAACACCTGAACTAAGGATAGGGAGTGAAGTAGTCGAACGCGTTGACAACTTCACTTATCTTGGAAGTCTGATTAGCCCTAATGGGTTGGTGTCTGACGAAATCTCAGCACGGATTGGAAAAGCTCGTTTGGCTTTTGCCAACTTACGTCACCTTTGGCGGAGGCGAGATATCCGTCTATCAATAAAAGGACGAGTATACTGCGCGGCAGTTCGTTCTGTCCTACCGTACAAATGGGAAATGTGGCCATTCAGAGTAGAAGATACTCGTAAGCTACTAGTATTTGATCGCAGATGCCTTAGAAATATTGCTCGCATCTACTGGGATCACCGTGTAAGTAATAGTGAAGTTAGACGCAAGGTATTAGGGAATGATGGTAAATCAGTTGATGAGGTTGTGAATCTTCATCGACTGAGTTGGTTGGGAAACGTGTTACATATGCCTGAGCACCGATTACCACGACGCGCAATGCTAACCGGTGTTGGGGATGGTTGGAAGAAAGTTAGGGGCGGCCAAGCCAAAACTTGGCACCAGTGCTTGAAGTCACTGACTTTTGGTGTGAGTCATGTTGGTAGATACATACTACTTGGCTGTGGTCTGCGTGACTATCGTAACCAATGGTTGGAGACTCTTGGTGACATGGCTCAGAATCGGTCACAATGGCGTCGGTGTATACACTCTCTGTCTTCCTTTAAACTATGAGACCAAAATTATTTCATATCTTTCTTTCTTCGTACTAAATCTTTCTTCCTGTACTATACCCTTGTATGCAATCTCTCTGTTATATATTACCACCATTGACTTAACTACTTTTATGCAGTTGGTGTTTTAACATATAACTTTCAAGATGTTAGTAACTATTATCGTTGTTCTAAAGTTATCAGTTTATAATTGATTGTGGTGACATGAAAAAAATTTTTTACTTTTCGGTGTGTTCTCTTCATTCATTTTTTTACTCGTCTTTTTATTTAATTCCTTCCTTCTTTTTTATTTAGTTCTTTTATTTTCCTTAATTTTGTTTTAAGATTATATTTATACGTATATATCTTATGCCATATACCTCTTTTCAACATCGAAATAGTGAATTCTGTGTACTCGCTAAATACTATCAATCACCCTTCATTCGTGTTTTTAAATACTTTTTTTTGCCCAATTCAAGTTTGATGTATTTCTCAAAATTAACGCCTGCGATTGAAGAATATTTGCTTACTACTGAAAATTGTTTGTACGGTTGCCGAAAGTATTAAAACTTGTGTATTTCTTTTGATACTTATTTTATTTCAGGCCAGGAAAATTAAAAGTACATCATTATCATATCCATAGAACAGAATCATCAAGTCTGAATGGACACATGAATGGATGTGGTGTCGGTAGTGGTAGTGGCAGCAATAGTGGTTTAAATTCTACTGCATCTGTTGCTGCCAGCGTTACAGTTACAACAACAACATCTAATACCATTGCAAACGTGAATGGTTCAAATGGTACAGGGTCAAATACCCCCAATGTTGGATCAACCACTAATGGTGAAGCACAATATTACTTATCTGAAAAGCATGCGTTCCCTACAATCAGTGATGTTATACATTATCATAAGCATAATTCTGGTGGACTAGTTGTCCGACTCAGATCGCCACCGACCAAAGATCGAGAAAGTCCTGTCACTGCTGGAATGGGTCTAGATGAGTTTGAACTTGATCCAGCTGACCTTCATTTAGAAAGAGAGCCAATCGGAAAAGGACAATTTGGAGTAAGTTGTTTTGATTGCAACAGAATAGCATGAATTCACTTTTTTTTTTCGTTCTCGTCAGTTACTAACAACCAGTGATATTTAAAATCATTTGTGCAAAATGGCTTTAAATTACTTACATGAAAGAGTTAATTTGGAAGTTATTTTGAAGAAACATCAGTATAGTATAGCAACGGTGTGAATAAATTTAATAGACTGAATAAAATATTGTTAAAATATACCTTATGTAAAAGAATATTCTACAACATTGTTGTAACATCCTAATTCACCAAAATACCACTTTTTAAAATTATTGATTTGATATGTCAGAATTCTGATATCCTAGCTTTACCAGTCCTAGAATTCAAAAACTACTACTCATGTGCTCAAAAAACGTTCAATTGCAGTTCAATAACACCATATGCAGTTAAATTGATGGTGTGACGAAGGTAAGTCCATTGGGTCCAGTTAAGGCAGATATTTTTTATGGGGTATCTTGAAAACACAGTGCTTACTCAAGCGATTAGCGAAACGACGGAATGCTCCGAATATGTTGATGAAACGTTTACTTTTTGCAACAGTAAATAGCCTGCAATCCGCCTGTTAGAACTCTTCAGTAATGTTCATCCCAACATACAACTTACTATGGAACACGAAAAGAGTGACGTGTTCCACTTTCTTAATATTATCATATAACGTGGGGACAATCCAACCTTCGGTTTATCAAAGAGTACTTGAAATGGTCTTTACCTGAATTTCACTAATTTTTGTCCAATCATTTGCAGGAAAGCATTGATCAAATCACCATTTTATGGGGTAGAAAGGATATTAACCACTACAGACAATAAAAAAACAATATCTATAAATTTCAACTCCAAAGGTAATGACGCCCCAAGCACAATCAGCAGGAGGCTTGACAATTCATTACCCGGAACTTACCCGGCACCTAAACTATAAATTTTGTGTGAAACAACATGTTCAATAATCCAATCAAAGGTTGGCTAACACCCATCTCATGCCACCTTCAACTGTGTTTAGAAATTTACGTGTAACTGCCAAAGCAGCTACGTTGGCTTGACAGAAAGGAGGACATATTTTAGAATTTCTGAACTTGTTCCAAAAAGCCTCAGAACAAGAGATAGAACAACCTTAGACTGTACAATTACCGAATATCTCTTGGATACAGGAAATCAGGTCGATACTTTCCAATACTTCAAGGTGACTAATAAACAACCAAGCTCCACTCTTTCACAGTGCTGAAGACGTTGCTATCGGGCCTCAGAAACGTGATTCGTGTGTGCAAAAAGAGATGGTTATTAATCTTTCCATGCCTTGGTAACAAATATTCCTTCGTTGCGTCTTATTTTTTTCAACTCTTTCCTTCAGCTGTCTACAGTATTGCGTCATTTGTTTCGACTGTCTGATACATTAGTAATCTTATTTGAATTAACTGAGTGTTACTTATCTTATTCTTGCTTACTAGCGTTTACTTATTACGTAGCCGTTTGTTTCTGGTCCTATGGACCTTTGTTGTAATCAATGTTGTAGAATGTTCTTTTACATAAGGCATATATTTACAATATTTTATTCAGTCTATTAAATTTATTCACACCGTTGCTATACTATACTGATGTTTCTTCAAAATAACTTCCAAATTAACTCTTTCATGTAAGTAATTTAAAGCCATTTTGCACAAATGATTTTAAATATCACTGGTTGTTAGTAACTGACGAGAACGAAAAAAAAATAAAGTGAATTCATGTTATTCTGTTAGAATTTTTGTTCTTGCTCTCTTCAAGATGATAAAGCGAACTTTGTGTATGAAACATTAAATATCTCAATGATAAACGGGATATTACAATCCTTTACAAATGGTTTATTTGCATATAATTTTTATATGCAGAATAAAAGTCTTCTTATTGATCTGTATTGAATATGTACCCACTCATCTCCCACTCAGCTTCAGGTGATTAGTAAACAAGTGGGATTCCTGACTTATTTATTTTACAACAGTGCTGTTAATTTCTGTTGATGTATGAAAAACGTTCTAATGTATTTTGCTAGATTTTTTTGAAATTCTACATTTGTATGTCCACTAAGTAGTCAGCAAAATGTTGTTTTCTGTAGTTTTATATAAATTTATGTGCTACTGTTTTATTTTTATCATTACAGCTGTACTCATATTCTTTTTCTTGTGTTGTTTAGGTTGTGAAACGTGGCAAGTTCCGTAACATTCCGGTAGCTGTTAAACAAATGGTTGAAGGGGCTATGAATGAAGATGATTTTATTGAAGAGGCTAAAAATATGAGGTAGTTTGTCTTTGATCGGTTTCACTTCGCATCAAATTTTGGTAACAGACGACTGGTTTTTTAACATTATAGTTTTAAAGTAGAATTATGACAGTGATTTCTAGTCTTGTCTAAGATATTCTGTGTAAAGATCTTATAAAGTCAATCATCGTAGCTATGTTTGTTAATCAAATATTTTGAGTTAAACAATAATTATAATAAAATACACAAAACTATCATATAATTGCACGATCTTCTATAACAGGTAAATTATTAGAGATGATAGATGATTACATAACTTTACTCATCAAATAAAGCAAAATACACAAATATTTTATGATACTAGATTACTTACTCACTTGATGTATGATTCTAATTTTATTTTAAGTTTATACATATAACTCTTAGTATCGAGTCATCCGATCAACAATCAATTGGATTAAATTTTTTTGTTAAATGAGACGAACATATTTCTTTATGTGTCAATATCACGTCAATTAATTCAACAATTCAAGATAAATATAGGATCATTTACATTTACGTGCATATTTTTTGTTTGAACACATAAACATTGGTACAAGGGAGAACCAAATACATATGCGTCACACAATAGCAATAAGGTCGGTAGCTGTTATTATTGATGTGTGAGGGCTGTGATACTACCCGAGTGCGCAAACCGAAGCACGTGGTTTTATTAGGAGGCCACACCCTGAGCCTTTGATCTGAAAGTCTAATCCACACGGCAGTGGAGCGACGTCAGGAAATGCAGTCCCATGGTAGTCAGTGACCAATAATTGGCTCATACGCCATTTGTTCCCTCAGGATCCTAGGACCCATGTACACCATTGGTTTGGAATCAGAGTTTTCCAACTCCCGTAAATGGATCCTCCATGTCCATCAACCCGGTTAAAGCGCCAGACACCTTTTTTCCGTCGCCTAACTCTCCCTGACGTCGACCGTACCAGGACATTTAGGGGCATACTTAAGATAACTTTATTGGAGTTTGCAACTGAAATAATTTGTAATCAATATTGTTTAGTGCTGGAGATAAATAGATTGTTTTGTTTGCATTCGTAGTTTGGTTTACTGGCAAATGTCAAATTGGAAGTACGTTTAAATTTTCAATTTCGTTCACCATAGGATATCGTGGTGTTGGAATTGCTTAATCATAATATGTGATTTCTAAAAACAAAAACTGTTTTTTGACCACAATGACGTGTACATATCGGTTTAACCAAGTTATTTTCGATCTTATACAGTCCCAGTTCATTTTACAGTTTGAAAATTTTCCTCACAATTTAAACAATAAAAAAAGTTCATTCGAGGTATACCAATACCCAGGTAGATTATATTAAAGTCAATTGGAAATATAACATATTTTTCCTACAAAAAGACATATTGATACTCTTTAGTGACTGCCTTTATATTTATGTCCCAGATGATCAGATAATAGCATCGTGTCATATTAAAAGCCTCTATAAACAGATGTTTTGTTGCTTAACTTGGTTTTCAATCATTAAGTTGCACTGTGAATCTTGCTCAACCACAATTCGTTTAAACTGGTGGTCATTATTACAAGCCTCTTACTCGTAGCGAAGCATGTGAATATGTATTTGGTTAAATGAATTTTAGCTCAAAACCTCAGATACACATAACCTTGTAGTCTGAATTTTATCCACCTTTAAAGGAATGAAATATTTGTAATAAGAACAGTCAAGACGTATTTTGAGTTTTCATTAGACTGATATCATAGTCAGCTTTTATTCTTTTGACTGCTTTCTGAACCATAATAGAAGGGAAACTCAGTTATTAACGCATTCATTTTTCAACCTTGTGTATCAGGTTTGAATATCGTTTCATCTACTTTTGTTTTCGGTAGCCATGTATTATTATCTTGATGGAGTTGTTGAAACACATAAGGAGAAATTCGAACGCTTCACTTCTATCTGAAGTTTGTACTGATGATGTCAATCAGAAGAACGATGAAAGCTCCACGACCAAACCATCCAGCTCAGAGAGCAAAACTCCATCAAAATCATCCACCTGAGCTACAAATCTTCTCCACCATGTATTACTATCCCTTACACTTATGATGTAGCTGAACACTGAATGCACAAATCTGTACTTGATAAAAGGGTTACGTTTCCTGCATAAATATTACTGGATTTTATGTATGATGGATGATAGATTAGTACACTTTCATTTTATTGCTACACCATCAGTTGGGCTTAGGTGTATATACAAAATTGATATAGTAATAAGCAAAAGTCTTTAATTTCAGTACATCTAGTAGATCAATTCTCTTGGATTGTCGTTGATACTGTAACTCCATAGTAATACCCTTGACCTCATGTGTTAGTTGTAGATCACTAATTAATACACAAATGTTTACACATTTGTTGTGATGAGATAACTTGTTACGCTATATTTATCAAACTAACAAGTGAAAAACTGACTGCACATGTAGGTTGAAAGTTCATGATTCGATTACTAGATTGAGACAGATTTTCAGGTACCTTTAGTTATTCTAAACAAACTTGAACGAATCTTGGTATTAATAAAGCTTGAGGAAATTTGTGTTTCTTTTATGCAAATAAACGAGAAAAAATTCTGGATAGTTTTAATGAAGTGAGTCAAAAACTAGATCGTATTGTTAATCTAAAAGTTACTGGTTCAATTTTTTGTTTATCCATGACTACTTACTTTTTCATGTTTAGTCATGATTACCAGAGAGAGAGAGATTGTGACCGTTGGAATGTTTTGTTGCATTAATAAATGACATCCAGTATAAATGTTACTCTGTTATATGTGGTAATAACCATTTATTATATCATAAATACTGTCTGTTGTGCAAATTGTTTTTCAAAGTTTCACTTTATTTTGCGAATATATAACCACATAAGTATGTGACATGTCGTACTGTTTTTCCTTTATTTTAGTTGAAGAGAAAGGTACATTTTCGTACATCATAATAAAACATGATTTAACACGAAAATTGTACCCTGCAATATTCTATTCTCGCTTTTTTCTTCCCTAATTCATGAATTTTTTTCTAGTGTACACATCAAATTATTCCCCATCTTTCTCAACATTCATCCTACACTGATGCCCTTAGTGTTAATTGATCTAAGGGAGAAACTGACCAATGTACTCGAGAATAATACACGTGAATTTTCTTGTGGTAGTGAATGTTATGAAACCAATTTTTCTTATGATTATTATTATTACTATGCGTCGAAAATATGAACAATGTATGCAGATTCATACATTGTTCATACATTTATATTATCCTCTGTTCCATTTCTAGATTTCTTAATCATCCAAATCTTGTACAGTTATTTGGTGTTGTATTGAAAAAGCGTCCAATTATGATAATCACTGAATATATGAAACATGGTAGGTGTCCTATTTAATATCCAGATATTCAATATCCATTTGATTTCGTTTGTTTGTTTTCTTTTTGTGAGACCTTTTCTTGATGAATATCACTAATTCATATGGATTAATAATAGGCCAACGTATATGAAGTGGCACTTCAACTATAATATCCAGAGTAAGAAGTAGCCAGTGTTCTAAGTTGAACCTGTAAAATTTGTATGTTTGTAGTGGGTTTAACATTCAATAGAAAGGGATTTATTTTAATTACTCTATATTGACAACTGAAAAAAATTCAGCCACACAAACATGGTACATCTGATCCTATAAGATATGAACTTGTTTATGATAAGCTCGACAGTTGACCATGTCGAAAGTAATAAAACCTAGACTATATTTATCAAAGGCCAATGCAGATTATTCACTTTATTAGATGATAGTATGTACAGAGCAAGATTCCAGACATATTGTAAAGTATACTGTCGATCTTGTTCATCTTACAAATAATGTGTTTTATTTGATAGTCATGGTATCACTAGATGATATGCTTCTATGATTTAGAAATCTTTTAGTTTTATAGAATTGAGTTCCTTGTTCATTTTAGTGTTTAAAGCTACTAACCTTTTCTTTGGTTCGAAGCTATTGGTTCCCATTATTTTTATGTATGGCATTCAAGGAAAAAGGAAGTTTGCATGAAAATGCATTTTAAGCTATTTTCGATAGTCTGGCCTTCCGTCTCATTCTATTGGCCGTACAGAATACTTCATCTTAAGTTATTGCTACAAACAACTTTGGCTCAGTATGCACTTTCCTCTAGATTATTCAAAGTATTGTTATCATTATTAGCACCACTGGTTTTGCATCATACTCTAGAAATTTTGAATAGGATTTTCTTTTTAATCATTATTTGAAAAGGGATATTTCAATTTTCATGTATCTCATTTTCTCACTGTAGAATATATAACGTAATTTTATTACTGCAAACTCCTTACTTCTGACTTATACCGACTACATTTTCGTATTGGTTAAGTTTATTTACAAGTTCATACATTGTTAAATCTTGCCAAGAGGTCTTTCGGCTCATCAAACTGGGAAGTAAAAATAGCATTTATACCGTCTTTAGGGTGCTTAATTGACTTTAACTTTAATGTTAAAGTGTATACTAGTTCCGTAACAATATACTTTTCTGTGATTGCTACTGCGTCTCAATCTTTCCTTCTTGAAGCAGCTCTTGCTTAGGATTAATTTTCTATCTACACATGCGTCTACTACAATAACACCGTTGTGTTCTGTTTTATTTATTTAAACATATAAACATTGGTACAAGGAGGCACCAAATATATATACGCCGCACTTCATCATTCAATTTGTTCGAGGGCTAGAATGCTGCTCAGGCACCCATACCGAAACAGGTTGTTTTCTTTGAGGACCACTCCTCGTGCCTTTGACCTAGATGTATCATTCACAAGGCAGTGGAGTAGCGTTAAGAGATGCACTTCTATAGAGGTAGATGAAACTAAAGAAGCGATCAATATAACCTGTAGTAATTAGTCTCAATATTTTAGAAAGCTATATTTAATTCCTAGAGTTAATCAAAAAATGAACTGGTTCGATATAATCCCGAATGTCGGAGTGATTCCTTACTATTCACTTGTTTCTACTCAAAATGTCAAAGGTTACATTTTTTTTCTTTTTACACACTTATTGACTTTTTTGTTGCTTTCATATAAACCGTTTTATTAATGTGATAGTATTTGTCGGTCTAGTTACGTTGTCAACTGTATGGTTGTTTAAGGGTCTACTCATGTTAATTTTTAAAAGGTTATCATCTCGACTAAGTGTTACCAAAAGTCGGGAGATGAGTTAAGCCCTCAAAGACAAAGATAATTATAGCAAGCAAACTTTTTCGATTAAATAAATTATATATATATATATATATATATATATATATATATATATATATATATAGGCTTGTTTTTGTTTAATATACAGTGGTGCAAATGTCGAAGCATATATTCTATATATGATTTCTAGCATCTAGTAAACATATTGTACTGTATTTTACAAAGCCGTATCTGTGGCTGCGTTGCCTTTGTATTGATAAGAATGATCTATTGTACTCAGTATGTGCTTTATGTTGTTTGTTACATAACTTGCATGAACCAGTAATAGTTAATTTTACGTTCATTTCAAAGGTCATTATTCCTCTCTTCCTATAAATGACAATAAACATTGATTTCATTGAATCTTAGTTTTCATCAACACTATTAGGTCTATGTTCGATGCTAGTTTTAAGTATGCATCAAGAAGTGTTGACTAGATCTTCATGTCCTAAAATGCAGTCATCCTTTAACTGACTTATAAACATAATTGGGTTATATCAGTTAGGCAATCTCATAGTAGCATCTGACTTTAAGAAAGTTCTATAAAAAAATATTCCAACTCACAGTCTTGGGTTGTCATTTAAAATGGTAATAGCATACGGTGTCACCTCCTCAAAAAACCTACCGTCACTCCCATCCAATGCAGTCTTAAATACCAGTGATGGAGATTATTGTATTTCCTACCTTTTTCATATTGATCTCCTGCTAAGAGATTCTCTAATGGACATAAATCTTAAAGACGCTGCAGTGACACTTGTTACCAATCCAAAAACTCACTGACTGTTGATATGAATTACAGTCTGTGGTAAGAACTTTCTAGGTGAGTTCCTTCAAACGGTAAGAGAATATCATGTAAGCCTTTAATGATAATGACTCAAAATTGGCCACTATGATACGAGTTCGTTCAAACACTGTCCTCTTCTAAACTATGAACACCCAATTATCTTACATTTCTATTATTATTATTATTATTATTATTATTATTATTATTATTATTATTATTATTATTATTATTATTATTATTATTATTATTATTATTATTATTATTAATATTCATTTTATTGTTTCCATTTCCGTTAATTTTCTCTTTTTGTGATGTGCAAAGTTGGAAAACTTAAATCTGTCCACTGTAGCGCTATATTCTACTTTGAAATATATGTTTAGTTTTAACAACAAGATATGTATAGGATCAAATACACTGACTAGTTGCAAAAACAAACATTAAATGTTCTTTTTCACTTTACTGTTAAACAGGATAAAAGTTTTTTCCAGTGTTACTACGTAAATTTCTCCTTAACTATCGATTGTAATAGACTGTTTTTACTCTACTGCATTATGATTGTTTATCCTCTTCGTAGTGCACACGTTACTCACAGTCCCATATTGTTAACCCGACTGTACTTACAGATTAAGAGTTCTCATTGGTTTCTAGTTTTCAATAATTGATTCCATCTGATGTCAGTTATTGATGAAAATAATGTTCATATTATATAAAAATCTACGCAAAAACTTCTTATTCCATAAATTACGTCAGTCAGTCAGTCAGCTACAACGTAGGACCAGGCACATATGTGCATCGGTCCAGGTTGCCATACCTCATTAGCACAGCAAGATGAACAGCGGGTTCATAGTAGTGGTTATGTCAAAGTTGGTAATATATAGGAGAAAGATTGCAATAAGGATATAGTATAGGAAGAAAGAATTAGTTCGTAGAAAGAAAGATATGACGTGATTTTATTCTCTTAGTTTAAGGGAAGACAGAGAGTGTATACACCGACGCCATTGTGATCGATTCTGAGCCATGTCACCAAGAGTCTCCAACCATTGGTTACGAAAGTCACGCGGACCCCAACCAAGTAGTCTGCATCTACCAACATGACTCACACCAAAAGTCAGTGACTTCAAGCACTGATGCCACGTTTTGGTTTGGCCGCCCCTAACTTTCTTCCAACCATCCCCAACACCGGTTAGCATTGCGCGTCGTGGTAATCGGTGCTCAGGCATATGTAACACGTTTCCCAACCAACTCAGTCGATGAAGATTCACAACCTCATCAACTGATTTACCATCATTCCCTAATACCTTGCGTCTAACTTCACTATTACTTACACGGTGATCCCAGTAGATGCGAGCAATATTTCTAAGGCATCTGCGATCAAATACTAGTAGCTTACGAGTATCTTCTACTCTGAATGGCCACATTTCCCATTTGTACGGTAGGACAGAACGAACTGCCGCGCAGTATACTCGTCCTTTTATTGATAGACGGATATCTCGCCTCCGCCAAAGGTGACGTAAGTTGGCAAAAGCCAAACGAGCTTTTCCAATCTGTGCTGAGATTTCGTCAGACACCAACCCATTAGGGCTAATCAGACTTCCAAGATAAGTGAAGTTGTCAACGCGTTCGACTACTTCACTCCCTATCCTTAGTTCAGGTGTTGACGCAGACCAGTCCTGAAGCAACAACTTGCATTTTGAGGGAGAGAAGCGCATTCCAAACATTCTGGCATTGTTGCTTAGTGCTACCAAAAGACTCTGCATTTTGTCAGCGTCTTCACCAAACAGGACTATGTCATCTGCGTGTTCTAAGTCGATAAGTGGACCTCCTGGTAGGAGATCAATACCCGAGAATTCAGTCGACGAGAATGTTAATTCCATCAGTAGGTCTATGATGAAGTTAAACAAAAATGGAGAAAGTGGGCAGCCTTGACGGACACCACTTGTGGTTGCAAAAGTAGATGACAGTTCGTCATAAGCCCTGACTCGACTAGTAGTGTTCGAGTAAAGAGCCTTTCAATGACAGACACTGCCACAGAGTCTCGCGGTCTACAGAGTCAAATGCTGCTTTTAAGTCAAGAAAGACCACCATTGTCGGACGCCGATAAGTATGCCTGTGTTCTAGAACCTGACGAATGGTGAATATGTGGTCGATGCAGCCACGACCAGGTCTAAAGCCAGCTTGGTTCTCTCGAGTTTGTAGTTCACGAGTCTTAGTTAGGCGTTGTTGCAACCTTGACTTGGTGGTCGGGCTTGCCTATCGTGATGAAGCAACCGAGCTATACTGGCTGGAACAACCGTTCCTCAAGGTCCTACCATGTCACACAGGTCGGTTGAAGAGCGGTAAGACTGAAAGCAGCA